CACACCTAGAGCCCATGCTCCACAAGAGAAGCCACTGCAGTGAGAAGCCTGCGCACCACAACGAAGGGTAGTCCCCACTCGCTGCAACTAGAGAAAGCCTGCGCACAGCAATGGAGACCCAACGCACCCAAAAATAATAAATAAATAAACACTAAATGTTAGTTCTTTTAAAAAAGAAAAAAGGCATTATATGGGAAACAAAATGAAAAGACAAGCTACAGACTAGGAGAAAATATTTGCAAATGATGCGACAAACAAGGGCTTCATTTCCAAAATATACATACAGCTCAATATCAAAAAAACAAACAACCCAATCAAACAATGGGCAGAAGACCTAAACAGACATCTCTGCAAAGACATACAGATGGCCAACAGGCACATGTAATGATGCTCAACATCACTAATTATTAGAGAAATGAAAATCAAAACTACAATGAGGTATCACCTCACACCGGTCAGAATGGCCATCATCAAAAAGTCTACAAAGAATAAATGCTGGCGAGGATGTAGAGAAAAGGGAACCCTCCTGCACTGTTGGTGCAGCCACTATGGAGAACAGTATGAAGGTTCCTTAAAAAACTAAAAACAGGGACTTCCCTGGTGGTCCAGTGGTAAAGAATCCGCCTTACAATGCAGGGGACGCGGGTTTGATCCCCAGTTGGAGAACTAGGATCCCACATGCCGTGAGGCAACTAAGCCTGCACGCCACAACTACTGAGCTCGTGCACCTCAACGAGAGAGCCCACATGCTGCAAACTACAGAGCCCACACGCTCTAGAGCCCGTGTGCCACAACTACAGAGCCCATGTACCCTGTAGCCTGCACACCACAACTAGAGAAAACCCGCACACCAACTAGAGAGAAGTCCGCGCACCACAACAAAAGATCCTGTATGCCTCAACGAAGATCCCGTGTGCCACAACGAAGACCCAATGCAGCCAAAAACAAATTAAATACATAAATAAAAAATAAATCTTGGGCTTCCCTGATGGCACAGTGGTTTGAGAGTCCGCCTGCCGATGCAGGGGACACGGGTTCGTGCCCTGGTCCACGAAGATCCCACATGCCGCGGAGCGGCGGGGCCTGTGAGCCATGGCCGCTGAGCCTGCATGTCCAGAGCCTGTGCTCCGCAACGGGAGAGGCCACAACAGTGAGAGGCCTGTGTACCGCAAAAAAAAATAAATAAATCTTAAAAAAAAAAGAAAAAAACCCTAAAAACAGAGTCACCATGTGATCCAGCAATCCCACTCCTGGGCATATATCCAGAAAAGATGAAAATTCTAATTCAAAAAGATACATGTGCCCCGATATTCATTCGTAGCAGCACTATTTACAACAGCCAAGACATGGAAGCAACCTAAGTACGGCCATCAAAAGATGAATGGATAAAGAAGATGTGGTACACATTTACAATGGAGTATTACTGAGCCATAAAAAAGAACAAAATCCCATTTGCAGCAACACAGATGGACCTAGAGATTATCATACTAAGTGAAGTAACTCAGAAAAAGACAAATATCATGACCTATCATATCACTTACATGTGGAATCTAAAAAAAAGATAAAAATGAACTTATTTACACAACAGAAACAGACTCACAGACATAGAAAACAAACTTACGGTTACCAAAGGGGAAAGGGTGGAGGATAAATTAGGAGTTCGGGATTTATAGATATACACTACTATATAGAAAACAGATAAACAATAAGGAACTACTGTATAAGCAAAGGGAATTATATTCAATATCTTGTAATAACCTATAATAGAAAAGAATCTGAAAAAGAATATATATATATATAAAATATATATATCACTAAATATCAATGAATCACTTTACTGTCCACCTGAAACTAACACAACATTTTAAATCAACTATACTTCAAAAAACCAAAACAAAACTGCAAGACCTAAATTCCTTTCCACTCAAAAAAATCTTAAACCACACATTTTGATTGTTCAACTAAAGGAATAAATGTCTATTAATTTTTTAATTAAATAGTGAGACCACTACATATCTATTAAAATGACCAAAATTTGCAAAACACCAACAGCACCTAATGCAGGTGAGTACATAGAGCAACAGGAACTTTCATTCATTGATGACAAATGCAAAATGGTACAGCCACTCTGGTAGACAGTTTTGCAGTTTCTTATAAAACTAAACATACTTTTACTATATGATCCAACAATAACACTTCTTGGTATTTACACAAAGGAGTTGAAAACTGACGTCCACACAAAAACCTGCACACGGTACACAATATGTTGATTTTTTTTTTTGAGGTATTTTTTTGAGTTGATACAGGAGCTTTATTCTGAATTGCCAAAACTTTATTCAAATTACTCCAGAATATAATTGCCAAAACTATTCAACACTGCGATGAAGATGTCCTTCAGTAGGTAAATGAATAAATAAACTGTGGTACACCCAAACAATGGAATAGTATTCAGCATTAAAATGAAATGAGCTACCAAGTCATGAGAAGATATGGAACAAACTTAAATGTATATTACTCAATGAAAGAAGCCCATCTGAAAAGGCTACATTCTGTATGATTCCAATTATATGACACTCTGGAAAAGGCAAAACTATAGACAGTAAAAAGATCAGTGGTTGTCAGGGGCTGAAGGGAGGGAGGAATGAATCTGTGAAGCACAGTGGATTTTTAGCGCAGTGAAACTACTATGTTCAATACTACAACGGTGGATACACTTCATGTTTGTCCAAACCACAGAATGTGTAACACCAAGAATGAACCTTAATGTAAACTATGGACTTTGAGCAATAATGACGTGTCAATGTAGGTTCATCATTTGTAACAAATGTACCACTGTGCTGTGGGATGTTGATAATGGGGGAGGCTATGCATACAGGGACAGTGCATTTATGGGAAATCTCTGTACCTTCTGCTCAATTTTGCTGTGAACCTAAACCTGCTCTAAAAAATAAAGTCTATCCAAGAAAAAACAAAAACTATTGTACTGAGGATGTCATTTTCAGTAAAGTGCTTTATAAAATAATATCCCCATGGTATCCAACAAGGATCATGACTATCTTCATCTGTGTGTGAGAAGAGAGGGAAGACAGAGCTGGGAAACTGCCCCCTAAGAGGGCATCCCACGAGGGAAGCACTGGCACAGGATGCCTCTGGGTCAAGAAGTAAGCCCTGCAGAAGGCTCTGCTCTGATCCCACAGTGACCACTAACCCCAAATACATACAAGTCTCCTCTCCTCACTCTGCTCAGAAACCCATTTCCTGGGATTATGAATTATCTCTGAGCTCTAATAAAATGCATACTTAGCCAGTTAGAACATTCTACCAGAGACAGTGGCAATCAAGAGAGTATACACAGAGGACTGTAAGGTGAGTCTGTTTTAGCTTGTTGATTCCAGGTGACAGGGTTTACTCAAGGATTCAATTTAGAGGAGAAAGTAGAGGTTCATAACCTATAAAGCCCGATAGTGGAACACATACCTAAATCTCAAACTGGCAAAACAAATCACCCTTGCTTAGTCAGTACTAAGTCCTGTCAGAAAAAAACATGAGTCACTGGCCCATAGTATTAGACTTGCACAAAAAAAATACTTTTAAAATTATCACTTTCAAAAATTTTGCTCTTAAAAATTATTTTAAGTCTTAAGTACAAGCTGCTGGGGAAGAATGCTAACAGAAAGCTATTCCATTACCCCTAACCATTGAGCATGATTTACCAAAGAATAGGGGAGAGGTGAGGATGAGAGAGCAATGGCAGGGCAAAAAGAAGAAAGTGTGCTTCCTCTTGTCCTACGGTGGCCCCTGCCCTCACTCAGGGCACTTCTGTGCCCTTTAAGAGGATATAGGGCACCAAGACCAAGCAACACCATAGTGGAAGAAAAAACAGAAATGAATCCAAGATCTGGAAAAAAGATATTTTATCTGCTTTATTATCTACAACAAAAATGTAAAAACCTAGTCATTCGTTTTCAACTTTATATTACTCAGCAATAAACATTTCTCAGATTTGTCTAGAGAATTGGGCCAAGAGAATATATGCTTACAAAAAGAATGTGGTGTGGGCCTAGTAGACAGGAAAGATCTGCTGAAACTCAGAAGTTTAAGAACTCTTCATAACTGACATCAACTGACACACCACACAGACAAGCACCTAGCATAATGTGACCATAAATTAAAATCCCCTATAAAAAAGGAAAAGCTGGGGCTTCCCTGGTGGCGCAGTGGTTGAGAGTCCGCCTGCCGATGCAGGGGACGCAGGTTCGTGCCCCAGTCCGGGAAGATCCCACATGTCGTGGAGCGGCTGGGCCCGTGAGCCGTGGCCGCTGAGCCTGCGTCTCCGGAGCCTGTGCTCCGCAACAGGAGAGGCCACAACAGTGAGAGGCCCGCGTACCACCAAAAAAAAAAAAAAAAAAAGGAAAAGCTAAGATTCTGAGACATGATACCATCTACCCACATTTTATAAATGTTTAATTTCTCAAAAGCATCAATATCTTCTCTTTCCCTGTAAGCTCCATTCTATACTCTGAAAATAGACTATGCCATAAAACTGAGAAAATGCAAACCGGAACTTTATAGAGGTTAAGCCATTTCTATGATCCAGCTCAGCAAAGTGACTTTTTGGTTTTGTACTGACATTGAGAAAATGGGGGCCTGCTTATCCTGAAGCCAGACAGGGCACTGGTTCTGAGGATGAGTACAAGGAAATCTCTAAAATAAAATGAGAGATTGCTGACCTGCAAATTAATCTATAAATGGAACTCACAGGACTAACAGATACTGCTTAAAGTCTTGTAATAATAAAAATCTGCTTTCTTCTGATCAGTTTCAGTGATCAAGGACACATGACAGGCCTTCAGAATATGCTAACAGGTAGCAAACACCCCTATAGCAAAAATCTTTAAAAAAGAAAAGAAAAGAAAAGAAAAACCCTGTAACTAAAAGCAGAAATGCATAATTTCTAATAAAGCATTATTCAGCAGAAAGAAATTTCAAAGACCACTAACCTGGTCCTCCTCTTCATCCTCATCCTCTGCCAGACGCTGCCTGCCTACTTCATACAGCCTGCACACCGTGTCCATGTTCAGAGAATCCATGCTGCCTTGGTTCTGAAATAGAACACCCAGTCCACAAGAAGTTAGTTTTTAGAAGGCCCATATCCACACCTCAGCTATGACTGGCACTCACACACCTTGACCCTGTAACTATCAAAGCTTCCAATACCCAAAATTCTTGAACTGATTCTGAAAATGTTATGTCTAGGACACAGAGAGGGAAAGAAAAACAGGATGAGAAGGCCTGGACAGCAAGGGAGAGACCACCATCCCTGGGAACAACACTGTTCCGAGGATGCTCTAGAGAGAGACTGACTCCTCTAAGAAAGGGATGACAGTGTGAGTCCAGGATAATAGGAGATGGGATGCTCCACAATGCTCTATATCAGGATTTTCCTACTTCTCTTATACTGTGTATCTCTCCATCAGATGAGTAGATTATCCTAATCTATCACCAGAAATGCATCATCTTTAGAACACATAACAGACAAAAATGTCTGGAGTATAAGTTGAAAATGATCTTAAATATCAGAATAAAACAGTAGGATTTCTTCTTGCTCCCTTTACCTCGATGACAGCAAGATAGCAGTCTTTGGTGTCTGTACATAGGTCAAAAATGTTCCGTTTCACATCAATGGTCGCTGGAAAACAGAATGTGACAAGACTCAGGACTAGACTACTACCGTGATCTTAAAACCAGCCTTTCTGTTAAAGGAATTCAACGTGACTGTTCATAAATATTTCCCTAACTCCTCTGCTTTTCAAAAGCAGAAAAATTATAATTCTCTCAGAAAATGGAGGATCTTAAATAAGGATCACCAAAACAAGGCAAAATCATCAATACCTGACCTTCACACTTACCTATAGGTTTGTAATCAGTTGCATTAAATGTTCGGAAGGATGATCCAAAAGGGCTTTTCATCCTCTCTTCCAGTAAGTCATCTTCATCATCTGCCTGCAACATAGCTAGTTGGGACAGAAAGGGGAAATAGGAAAGGGAAGCAAAATACTATTAGAGTCAGAAACATCCCCTATTCACAACTGCAGAAAATATTAATGGACAATCAAGACTTCAGAGAGTTTCCCTGTAGTAAATTCCTCTCAAAGCATCCTCCTTGCATATCCAAACAATATCCTCAACCTCTCATCTAGCTTCCAACAACTGTTACAGCTGAAAGCGTACAAAAATCACAAGACAAAAAAGGTTTTTCTTGAAGTTCATAATGATATGCATGGTAAATTACTCATGAAATTTCTTTCTATACAAGATTTACTTGTTATCTTCAAAGCCAGTGGCCCTCCACTCTAAATCGACATTATTCTCATCAACAAATTTTGTCACCATTTGTACTATTATTTTATCTTTTATGTTACAACTTTGAAATGTCTTTCAATTCACATTTGACAGATATTTCTAAATAGGAAGTATCAAATGAAGTGAGTGGGGAGAGGAGGGAGAAAGAGAATAATGAAAAGTTTATTACCTCCATACATCACTGTCCCCGTGTGGTTGAACACCACTCGACACTGATCTAGAGCAGGAACTGTGTGTAAAAGATGGAAAGTACGAAGGTCCCACTAGGAGGGGAAAGGTCAAGGAAAACTATTTTCCCCAAAACTTCTTATTTAACCTCATGAGGGAAATTCTGAGATACCACTTTCTTTTCCCCTCCTTCTAGGTATTAATGCTTTAGAAGTCAACAAGATCAAGATAAAGCAAAAGCATTCAGAATGCATATTACTGAATAATGACCCTGAAAATCTCCTATGATATCCTCATATACATAAAAACTACATGAGGTCCCTCTCTCCCAATAGTAGCACTTCTTTTTACTCTTATGTGTCATTTCTATAGAGCAAAAGTAAAATCCTTCTGAAGACAGATAAAAGTCAATCTGACACCTGGGGAAGTGGGAGGGAGTAATCTGGTCACTTCCCAATACAAAGAAAACATGCTAGTAAAAGTCATCGATAATTACCAGTATCAACTGAATCCACTACAGATTCAATAATACTTCAAACCAAAGGAAAAAAACCAGGTTATTTACCTGTGTGGATACTTCGACCAGGTATTGGTAGAAAGATAAATAATTTCTGCATTACAAACTAGGTAACAAATGGCAATTAAGACATGGGCATAAAGGATACAATCTCAGTATTAATGATGACCTCCAGCCCATTCGGATGGAAAACGCCACTGATGTTCATGTTGAACTTGTCAAACTTGTGGATGGCCTGTGCAGAGCGGACATCCCAGAGGACGCCATCATTTAAGACAAGATCATCTGTAGGATTAAAGGTGGCACAGTTCCTCTTGTAGTTGTTGGCAAGATCTGGGTTAAACAGAGTCAACAGCTTGTTGCCAGTCTGAATATCATAAATCTTTAGAGAAGAAGGGGTGGGAAGAGAAAAATCAGACCAATCCATCCACTGACGAATACAAACAGAAGCTGCGTAAAATATCTCTCTCATGCTTTCCAAAGCCCATCAAAATTATAAAAGGCCTAACATTGAAAATAACTGGAAAATAGGAAGACCACACCCATACAAGCAAAGTTTATGTACTTTGGTTCCCATTCAAGGTTTGAAAAGTCTCTTTGCCACAAGTAAGAAAATGAGAAGTGAGACTGCAATAGGGATAAGAAAACCCTCTTCTTCCCCATCCCACTTTCAAGAAACAGAAAATGTTTCTAAGACTGAAACTGAGAAACTCTCCATGTGGACTAACCAACATTACTCATAGAATACTCTGACAGGTTACTTTTTGGAGAAAGGCATCAACGAAATGCCCTTTTCTCCTTAAAATATCCCAATATACTATCCAAAGTCTACAATGTGCAACCCATGCAGAGACCAGATCTTTCCCATCAGCTTACAGCCATGCTGTAATATATCCAATCTTTTTAAAAAATCCTCCTTTAATAGAGGAACAAATAGGGAGACACCACAAGGAAACAAACAAATCCAGATCGTGGGACAAGACAACTAGCCTGGTCTCTTCAAAAGTCAATGTCATGAAAACTGGAGAAATGGTTCTTGGCTTTAAAACATTAGTGAGACATAACAACCAAATGCAATATGTGAATCTTGGCTGGATCCTGGTTCAAAAAAAAAAAAACATTTGAAACCAAACACATCAGGAACAATCAGGAAAACTGAGTATGAGATGGATATTAATTGATATTTGGGAATTACTATAAATTTTCTTATATTTGATAACTGTGATTATGTAATAAAATGTCACTATTGCTAGGATATACATGTTATAAGAGTTAGGGATAAAATGTTTGCAACTTACTTTCTATAATTCAGAAAAACACACATATTTACACAGAAAGAAACTATGGCAAAATACTAAACTGATGAATCTAGGTGGTAGTTATGTGTACTACTATTTCAACTCTTCTATATATTTTAACACTTTCAAATTAAGTTTGGGAGAAACCCTCTCTTCACCACTCCATATCCCCCACCTCAAGCTACTATCCCCTCTTCTCTTTATTTTTCAGCAAAATACTACAAAAGACTTGTCTATACTCAGTGTCTCCACTTCTCTCCTGTTCTCTCGTGAACCCACTCTAATCAGATTTTTCATCCCAGTGCACAGAACTAGCTCCTGACATGGTTAACACTGACCTCCACATGGTTAGTCAAAGGTCACTTCTCAATTCTCATCCTTTTTTTTTTTGGCCACGCCACACAGCTTGCAGAATCTTAGTTCCCCGACCAGTGACTGAACCCCAGCCCTCAGCAGTGAAAGCCCAGAGTCCTAACCAGTGAATCGCTGGGGAATTCCCTCAATTCTCAACTTATGTAACCTATCAGCAGTTTCTGACCCAGGAGATCAATCCTTCTTCAAAAGAGTCTTCCCTTGCCTTCTAGAGCACATCTTTTTCCTGAGGTCTCCTGCTACCTAACTGGCCACACACTTTGTTCTCCTTCCCAAGTTCCTTCTCACACGGGCAACTTCTAAATACTAGCACATGCCAGGACTCTGTCCTTACAGCTCTCTTCTCTAGCCTCCTTAATGATCTCATCCAAGTTCACAGTTCATACTGTCGACAAGTGAACAACTCCCATATTTATATCTCCCACCCCAGACTTTTCTCCTGAACCCCCAATTTGTATATTCAACTGCCCATTCCCTATTTGAGTGTCTAAGAGAATCACAAACTCCATGTATCCAAAACCCCAGGGCCCAGCTGCATTACTTCTCATTGCCTCCACCACGCCCACCTAGGCACAGCCCCATTGCGCTCTCACATATTAGCTGGCACAACACCCTCCTAACTGGAAAGCCTCCTCTTGCTTCTCTCACAGAAACCAGACTCACACTTTAGTAATTTTACATCCAGTCATGTGCTTTCTTGCTCACCCTCCAGTGTCTTCATCTCACTCAAGAGGAAAAACCAAAGGTCTTAAACACCACATTGCAAGAGGCTACATGCTATGCCCCACCACTGACCTCAGCCTTCTTCCTCCCACCTCCCAAGTAAGGAGGTTTCCCTTGCCTTCCCTTGCCAAGGTTTCCCTTGCCATTCCCTTGCCATCCCCTGTCTTATATCACTTTTCCCCAGACATCTGCATGATGCCCACACTTCCTTCAAGACGCTGCTTAAACATTACCCAATCAGTGACACTGATTTCCTAGATAAAAAGGAAGTCCCCCACACCACCACCAAGCACTTCCTACCTCTCACCCTGCTTTCTTTTCCTTGGCAGCACTTACCATCTGACATACTATATATTTGCTTCTTTATTCACTGTCTCCCCAGTGAGGCTCCATAAAGGCAGGGACTTTATTTCATCTAAAACTTAGTGTTTGAAAATATCTGCTCTGCTAATGAAATAGTTCTCAAATTGTCAGATAAAGTTCTTTTCACATTTTCCCATATAGCTCAGAATTACTTCATTACACTTACAGATTCTATCTGGAAAGAATATCACTGAGCAATTTTTTTTTGTCACCCACAGGACTTAAGTCCTCACACTCAGTCCAGAAGATCTCAGTATAAACAAATAGACAAATCACTTGAAAGAAGTGGATTCTAAAGTACTTACATGGGCAATGTCTCCTTTTGTGCCTATGACTCGATCCTGAGAGTGCTTACTGAACTCAACATAGTGATCTTCTGTGAAGGAATGCCTATGAACAAACAACAGAAGTACTGATATAACTGACCTTTGGGACATAATTATTCAACTGACTGAAAATAAGGTGATCCTCAGCCTCTTGCCTGACTATACTCACCTAAAGATTCTAAGCTCCCAAAGAGGAAAAAATTGTACACATAAGATTAAAAAGAAAATTCCCTCCACCAGTTTGTCCAAGCAGATCCAAAATAATTAATGGAAACTACCTGGTTAAAGAAATGGCTAACTGGGTACACGTGCCTTTGAAATATGCTCCAGCAAAGATAGCAATGTATGCATGTGAACATGAGAAAATACGTAGATGTGCCATTTTGGATTAGTGAAGGGTCTGCTGTGTGATGGGAATGTATATACCTACCTGGTAAGAAAACCCAGCAATTAAGAAAAATAAAATCTTATTAAACATGTACCACAGATGAGGAAGAGAGAAGTCAGCAATATAACTTATAGCATTCCTCTTTTTCCCAAAAGCCTTTAAGTCAAAGAATCAGATGAAGGGGATAAATTGTAAAACAGAGAGACTAGGTTATAAAAGTAGATACATACTTCATATCAAATACTGATTTCATCCCCCAAAGTGCAGACAGAGGCTGGCTCCAAGTAGCAGATGTCAGCAGCAAGGACCCGTCCTAAAAGAAGATGGGAGGCCCAAGGTGGGTAATCATGTGTTTATATAAATGCCATCTTCCATTAGCATTCTAAAATATAAAATATATTGTTGGATTATAAAGAAAACAAAAACTTTTAGGAACCAAGAAATGGTCAGAAGCTGCTAGGACTTAAGTAACATGTACCTCCTATGTCCTAAAAGATAACTAAATTTAAGAATATTAAATCCTCCTAAAATATAATAGTTCCAAGGCAGGGGGTGGGGGGATGTGACACTTGGGAAGATGTCAAAGATGGTTCCTCCTTTCTTAATATTTGGCCATATTTCTCCATCTATCTCATCTGAATTATCAGTTAACTGGAAACAGTTGTTAGACTTCCTAGCTAAGGATTCTTAAAGGTTTTTCAAAGAGAAAGCCCAATAAAAGGTCAACCTCCTTTACTTTAAAATCAGGAAAATTATTCTTGTCATCTTAACAGTCTTGACTTTTAGAAACAGCAAAGGCATGAATTTCATCCATAGAATAGTGTTAATAAACTGTGAACTACCACTGGAATCATATGCTTGTCTTCCTAAAAATTCACAGTACTCTGAGATTTCCTTCCAACACAAAAAGAAAACTTTAGTGGTCATAGTTGATAATCTCCATTTCCAAATGAAGCAAATTAAAAATCTATCTATGTTCAGGTCTTAGAACAAGGGTTGGCAAACATAGGACCAGATAGTAAATACTTCAGGTTTATGCAGGCCATATGATCTGTGTTGCATGCAACTACAGTACTCAACTCTGTCATGGTAGCATAGAAGTACCCATGACAATACATAAACGTACGAGCATGGCTGTGTTCCAATAAAACTTTATGCACAAATACAGGAAACCAGTCAGACCACAAGCCCACAGTTCACCAACCTATCCTAGAACAACGATTGAGAATAACCTAGGAAGGGACCTTTACCCTGGAAGGTTCAAGGTGTGTGATAGCTGAGTTGTGACAGTTATAGCTGGCCTCCTCCTGTCCACTAAACACATTATAGAGCTTCAATTGCCCAGTGCAGGTGCCAAGCATCAGGAACCGCTCTCGTGCTGAGAATGCACAACAGGTGAAGCCACTCTCATCCTCATTGGCTTCCCGGAACACTGAAATAGGACGGAACCTAAGCAAACAAAAGAGAATCAGAGACAAAGAACAGGCAAGGACTCAGAAAAAGAAAACTCTGTTAGAAGGACAGAAGGAAAAACAAAGCATTTATGTTTCAAATGGGTTCTTCCAAAATATCGGTGACCTTCAGTGGCTCATCTTCATTTTAAAAGAGAGAAAATGACCTTCACTTAAAAATTTTAACAATAACAAAAATTCCCATGTGTAAAACCTGGGATACCATGACCTTCACTTAAGATTTTTAAGGAATAAGAGGAGACAACTTGAACCAGCACAAAAACAAACTTGAGAGCCTAGTTAGGGACAGAGTGTTGCATGGGTTCTAGAAAACATACTAGTTATAGTAAGAACATAGAGTACCTTATCAATATATTGCCAATAATCACACGAGGAACCCATGGTTGACAAAAGGGGGTATAGTCACATTGCTCATGTATTCACACAGTGATAATTCCTGGTATCTCAGGCCAACAGATGGTTTTCTGGACTAATTACTTTATGCTGATATTACCCACATACTTTGACTTAAATAGAAAAATCATTCCAATTCCCAGGAAGTGAGGTAACCTCTCCTTACCTGCTAAAGATAAGGTGCCTATCAAAGCATCCGCCATCCACCCCTCCATACTTTGGAAATGATGCCCTGCGGTTTAGCCTTGAGGTAAAGTTTATTGGCGCTTGCCGCCTCTGTTTTGGCTCAGGACATTGGTGAGGAGTAAAGAGAGAGAAAGGTGGGCAGGTGGCAACTGGGTTCTTGCAGCGAGCATGCTGCTCTCTAAGATATTCTGTGATGATACTGTCCAGCGTAGGTGGGGAAGGAAGATGTCTGTCCAACTGCTTTTTTATGGCTGGGCTTTGGCTGTAGGCGCCATGGTCCGACTTCTGCCGCAACACTCTGATTTTCCTGCCATTGCAGGGTGATGGCCTCTCTCTGATAAAACTGATCCTACCAATCAAAGGAGAGTTGCCTGCATAAGACGGGCCAGGCAGAGCTAGTGAACCCTGGGAGGCCCGTGGCTGAGGATGAACAGTGGGGGCAGAAGGGGCAGAGGCACCCACAGCAGCATGGCTGCCCAGTCGAGTTGCAATGCCATTGGCAATGCGAGGGGTACGGGGAAGAGAAACAGGAGAAGCAGCAGCAGTGACTGGGGTGAAGGCAGAAGAATGGGAGGCAGCAGTCATGGGCAGGTCAGCCTCTTTAGTCAGCACAGTTGCTGTCTCCCCAAGCCCTTTAGAAATGAGATGGTTTCGTATCAGCAGAAGCAGCTCTTTCTCAGGAAAGGAGATCCTTGACTGGGCAACAACATCTGCTTTCTGCAGTCGTGCCAGGGACACATCAGTGCCAATGAGAAGTGGCTTTCCTGACACCCGTTCAATGAGCTCAGCAGCATACTTGCAGAACTTGACATGGTCACTGCGTTTGTCCTGCAGCACAGGCTCTTTCATCAGTTGCTGGATTTGACAGCTGCTGAAAAGGGGCAGTTTGCTGATGATCTGCCGGACAGTGCTACTGCGAGACAGGCCCACCAGGGCCTTGCAGGCCAGGGCCCGGATCTGGTCTGCATCTGTGATGGGCATCTTGATGGAGAGTAAGGACAGAAGCACCTTGATGCCATTGTTGGACTGGACCACATTCCACATCTTGGCCAGAGTGTGCTCACTGCTTTTGGGAGTCTGAGGCAGCTTTCTCCGAGGAGTTCCAGAGATAAATTTGCCAATACTAGAAATTCTGTTATCCGGGCCACACACACAATTGATGATAATCTGAAGTGCTGACTTCTGAATTTCAGCATCATGAATAAAGAACTCACCCTCAGCCACTCCCAAAATAATGCTGATACCTATTGGGGAAAAAATAAACATTTTATATTATTCCTCATAAAACTAATGGCCAACTTCAACGGTTATTCCAGAGTCAGAATTTAGAGTTCTATTCATTTTGTTCCACTTAAAAGAAAACTAGGGCTTCCCTGGTGGCGCTGTGGTTGAGAGTCCACCTGCAGATGCAGGGGGTGTGGGTTTGTGCCCCGGTCCGGGAAGATCCCACACGCCACGGAGCGGCTGGGCCCATGAGCCACGGCCGCTGAGCCTGCACGTCCGGAGCCTGCGCTCCGCAACGGAAGAGGCCACAACATTGAGAGGCCCGCATACCACAAAAAAAAAAAAAAAAGAAAAGAAAACTACACTTTTTTTAAAAAAAAGTATAAGGAGGGCTTCCCTGGTGGCGCAGTGGTTGAGAATCTGCCTGCCAATGCAGGGGACACGGGTTCGAGCCCTGGTCTGGGAAGATCCCACATGCCACGGAGCAACTAGGCCCATGAGCTACAATACTGAGCCTGCACGTCTGGAGCCTGTGCTCTGCAACAAGAGAGGCCGCGATAGTGAGAGGCCCGCGCACAGCGATGAAGAGTGGCCCCCACTTGCCGCAACTAGAGAAAGCCCTCGCACAGAAACGAAGACCCAACACAGCCAAAAATAATTAATTTTTTTAAAAAAGTATAAGGAATAGTTTGTATAAAATGAAATCAGTTCTATTACAGTGCATCTTTATGACATAATACCTTATATGTTAAATAGGGGAATGACGTCAGCATTATGTGGAAGTCACCCAGGGTCATGTACAAACTTTCCTGGGTAAGTAGAGCAAAAATAGTGGGAATAAATAAAAACCTTCAGCAGGAAAGGAAAAAGCCCTCAGCCCGGCTGCTATAGTGGCAGCAAGTTAAAAACAAGTGGCTATGCCTTGGGCTTTCTCCCCAGAGTGGTACACCCTAGGGCCCACAGCCAGTCACACAACTTGCCATGCTCACCTTAGCAGTAGCCCTCATCAGCCCTGCTCTTAATAAAGGGTATTTTCAAACAAAGTGTATTTTCCTTTTGTTTGTGTATAATAGCTTCTATCCATTCTGCACTGCTTGGCAATTACTAATTTTGTTAGGGCTCAGATTACAAAGTTGCTAAAGTTTTTTACTGTCTGCCCCAATCTATTTTTCTCATAAATTCTATTTTTAGCACAACACTGCAGAGTACAAGGTTTCCAGGAATGCACATGTACAATTATGTATATGTATACATATGTATAGGAAATGCCTATACCACCCAGAAAACCTGAATTCACTACCATGACTCCCTTATATGAAACTGATGGCATGACTTATAAGACTTACAAGGTACCCTCCTCTACTACCTTCTGTTCTAATACTGTAAAATTAGGTAAGTAACAACCAGAATGGCAAAGGAAAACAAAGACCACGTAATAACAAAAATGGCAAGGTACAACCTACCTACAGTGGAGACGGTGGAGCCAGCCTCATCCAGCACATCCACTGATTCTGCCAACTGGAGCTGAATTTTTGGCACAACAGTGAGAATAGCCAAGACATCCAAAGCAAAGCGCACAGTGTCATTCCTGGACAGGAAGAAGAATTAGTCAAAGGGAAACTAGGATACAGCCACAAGAAACAACAACAGCTAAAAGAGAGAGACAATGGATCAGAACTACTACTGATATAGTAGGGACTATGGCTCTGTCCCTAGCCATGGCATCAGGAGAGGGCCTGTAAGTCACCAAAACTTTAATTTCAAAAAACACAGGGATGGAATTTTCACCTATCAGATTGCTAAGATTAAAAACAAGGGATAATCCCCAATGCTGATGAAGATGTACAGAGACAAATGCTCTCAAACTTTTGGTGGGAGTAGAAATAAGTATACTCTTTTCAGAAAATAATTTGGAGATATGAAACAAAGTTCTTAAAACGTTCATAACCTTTGGCCCAGGAATTTCACCTCTAGGAATCTGTCCGAAGGAAATAATCAGAAGTATTCAATACAAACAAGTATTTATGCATTAAGATGTCCATTAACACATCATGGACAGCAAAAGAATTAAGAAAACTTACACAGACAGAAGGAATATATGTGTTAAATTATGGTACACTCATATGATGAACTACTTTGCAGCTACTGACAATTATTTTCAAAGAACTCTAAAGGACAAATGACAGCTCTATTTACAATAGCCCGGAGATGGAAACAACCTAAGTGTCCATCATCAGATGAATGGATAAAGAAGATGTGGCACATATATACAATGGAATATTACTCAGCCATAAAAAGAAACGAAATTGAGCTATTTGTAATGAGGTGGATGGACCTACAGTCTGTCATACAGAGTGAAGTAAGTCAGAAAGAGAAAGACAAATACCGTATGCTAACACATATATATGGAATTTTTTAAAAAATGTCATGAAGAACCTAGGGGTAAGACAGGAATAAAGACACAGACCTACTAGGGAATGGACTTGAGGATATGGGGAGGGGGAAGGGTAAGCTGTGACAAAGCGAGAGAGAGGCATGGACATATATACACTACCAAACGTAAGGCAGATAGCTAGTGGGAAGCAGCTGCATAGCACAGGGAGATCAGCTCAGTGCTTTGTGACCGCCTGCAGGGGTGGGATAGGGACGGTGGGGAGGGAGGAGATATGGGAACATATGTATATGTATGACCGATTCACTTTGTTGTAAAGCAGAAACTAATACACCATTGTAAAGCAATTATACTCCAATAAAGATGTAAAAAATAAATAAAGGACAAATGAAAAGGCTCAAAATACAACATTAATGAAATAGAAAACTAAGATATAACATTTTAAGTCTGACAATACCAAGTATTGGCAAGAAGGAATAAAAATGAAAACTCCCATAGACTGCAGTGGGAGAAGAAAATAGTATGAGCATTTTCCAAGCAACTTGGCAACATCCACTATAGATGAAATGAAGACACACTACAACCCAGGTTATACACAACATATCCTCACGAGAGACTCCAAAAAGAGGTTTGTGGTACCATTCATTTAACAGGAAAAAAAGGAACGAAAGACACTAAATGTTCAACAATAGGAGAATAAACTACAGTACAGAAATACAAGAGTTCAAATATCAACACATAAATCTCAAACACGTAAGGGTGGCTATATACCTGAAACTTATATTAAAAGAGTAAATAAATAAGGGTGAAAAAAGCAAGCTGCAAAAGACGTACACAATATTTTATATAACTTTAAAACATACAAAAGAATAATATATTATTGTTTACACACCCACACATATGTATAGCATAAAAAATGAATGGAGAGAATGCACACCAAGTTCAGAAGACTGGTCACTCTCAGGAGGCAGAAAATGGAAAGGAACTGAAACAGAAGCAAATACAGCAACATGCCAACCCTGGGTATGGAGTAGTTGTTATATTATTCTCTGTATCTTTATGTATTTTGAGATATTTCATCTAAAAGATGAGTTTGATTAAATACTATAATCTCAATTATGTATATTTACATACATTATGGAAAAAAGACTAAAGAAATTAAGTGGCTAAGAATAATTTTCATTTCTAATGTTTTATATACTCTAAGCAAAAACAAGTATTTTATTTTTAAAGTTAAGCTTTTAAAGGACATATTTATATTTTCTTATGTAATCAAATATGAATTTACCACTCAAAAAATGTATTTATAACCTTCCTCATTATCTTCTGAGTTTCCATCATCTTTAAAGCAATGTTCTCCAAGTAAATATAACCTACTTTAATACTCTAAAACAGTGGTTCTTGAAGTGTGGTTAGGGGACCCTAGGAGTCTCTGAGCCTCTTTCAAAAGGTGCTGATATAAAAACTATTTTTATAATAACACTAAGATGTTACTTTCCCTCCTCACTCTCATTCTCTCAAGAGTGTATAGTAGAGCTTTCCAGAGGCTTGTCATGTGTGATGTCACAAAAGGTTGAATATAGAAGCAGATATGAGATATTAAATCAGACATTTTAAAAACTTGCTGAAATCACCTGGTTTTATTTTGGAAACTTTTCATAAAAAATGCTAGTAAGTAATGGATTCAGATTATTTTTAAATAAATAAATATTTTTATATTTTCTCAGTTTTAATTTCCAATATGTTAAATATCAAGATGTAAAAACAAAAGTTTTTTTGGGTTCTAATAATTTTTAATACAGTAAAGGGATCTTGAGACCAAAAAGTTTGAAAATGGCCACTCCAAAGGTATTCCTTTAGATTTAATTATCCTGGGATTTAGCAAACAAGCTATATGCACCCTAAATAAGCACCTCTTGTCTTTATGGCAGTGGGTGGATAGGGAAAGGAGGTCAAGAACCACTGTTTATAAATTTTGTTACTATCTTCCCTTCAGACTCCATCTTTTCCAAAATATAGTTTTAATTCTTTTTACATCATCCTCAAATAGAACCTACCCAACCTCCTGATTCCATTACCTGCTTTTCCCTGAGCCTTGTCCCGCTTTGCTGTTTTCAACTGAATGGTGAAAATCATAACAAGAGCAAAAAATACAGTTTTATGTGAAGGTAAGATAAATATTATATATGGTTGTCAAGCAACAGAGAGATGTTTAAAGTCTAAGTACCAAAGAATACTGGACTCCAGCGTCCAGACAGGATTTCAACCCCACCTCTGCAGCTGTAGCCATGTAGATTATGTAACTTCTCTAAGAGTACAGATAATGATCCTTGCCTATTTTGCAGTATTTATAATCACCATGACCAAGCACTCTATAAATTTAAAATGATATTATCATGCTTAATTATCATGCTTAATCTAGCTTCTCAGATTCAAGTCCAAAATTTCAATTCAATTCAACAAATGTTTGTTAAGCATACACTATTGTGAAAACCAACATTAACTTTAGCAAAAAGCAGACTCTTAACTTCATGGTCCCACCTTGCATAATAGGTCTTCCAATTACAAGCAATAGAAATAAGCTGCAACAAGAGTTGGACACAAGAAAGTTTGAGGAAGACTTCAGCTGGCTCCCAATATAGCTGTGCTGGGCCATATTCTATCAAAAACTCCATCATTTCCACAATCTGTTCATGAGTATATGAACATGCCTAAAAGGAGAGATACATATTATTATTTTTTTTTAATTAATTAATTTATTTTTGGCTGCACTGGGTCTTGTTGCTGCGCGAGGGCTTTCTCTAGTTGCGGTGAGTGGGGGCTACTCTTCATTGCGGTGCGCAGGTTTCTCATTGCAGTGGCTTCTCTTGTTGCGGAGCATGGGCTCTAGGCTCGTGCACTCAGTAGTTGTGACTTGCAGCCTCAGTAGTTGTGGCACACGGGCTTAGCTGCTCTGCGGCATGTGGGATCTTCCCGGACCAGGGCTCGAACCCGTGTCCCCTGCATTGGCAGGCAGCTTCTTAACCACTGCACCACCAGGGAAGCCCAGAGATACATATTATTAAAGAACTCAATCTGCCTGCTATCTTCTCCAGCACAGCTCAGTGGTCAACAGATTTTAATAATAAAGCTAAGTAATAATAGCTTTCAAATCCCACACTTCTTGAGTCCACAGGCCCCATGTGAAACAATGAATATATATAAATGATGTTTAATCTTTTATTTTATTTATAACTAGACTCATAATACATTTTGCCCAAAAAGGTAACAAAATGTTCAAATCATTGGTGCATATATTTCACAGCTTAAAAAGAAGCACCACGTAAAATAATTGGTTTCTTTTCAATTTGTGATTTTTAAAACACGCAGATACTAGTCTTTGTTACAAAACATACTAAGTTCAAAAATGACAGTGAAGTGGAATTATAGATGCACCCTTTCAGAAAAAAAATTCCACACAGAAGAAGGTAGAATATCTAGTACTTTCCATAAAAGAAAGCCCTTTTACAGACATCTCAGTTCATCTTTTAGTTCTAGTATTCCAGAGATAGAAACTTACAATTGGGAGCAAAATAAGTTCTCAATATATCATTTTTTGTTTGTTTGTTTGTGGGTTTTTCTGGCCACACCATGTGACTTGCAGGATCTTAGTTCCCCAACCAGAGATCAAACCCAAGCCACTGCAGTGAAAATGTCAAGTCCTACCGCTGGACCACCAGGGAATTCCCTACATCCCTTTTCAAGTATTCTGCCTCCACACAGTGCAAGTATAATCCAACAATGTACATCCCACGTGGACTCCACTGATATGAATGTGCATTTCAGGCCCAAGATGCTACAGACAGTGCTAACAACGTTTCCTTTCTAGACAAGGTTCTCTCACCTTGTAAGGGGGTTGAGGATGAACAAGAATGCCACCCTCAGTCCTCTGAAGTGACTGCTTCACTTGTTCCAATTTAATGGCCAGGTGAGCCTCAAAGTACTTGCGCAAGGCCATGCACGTATGTTTCCCAGTTTGGCGGCTAGCAAATATTTCATCATCACTCAGAAGTGCACCCTGATCTTCCAAATTTAGAATCTCCAAAGTACTGATCTATTAAGAAAGAGGCAAAAGAATGGGGCAAAAGAGGAGGAAGAACAAAGAGGAAGAGAAAAGTAAAAGGAGAGGAGAAAGACTTCAATCAACTTTTGTGCTCATGAAGACTGACAAACATCAAAGTACATCTGTCCATACAACATGCTAAGAGTAGCCATATGAAAGCAAAACATTAAACCTATATTGAAAAATTACATAGTTTTCAATCATGCTGAAAGACACAGAGGCACAAAACTTGCTTTTTAGAAGGATCAAGCAATTCCCCCTGTAAGATTACTATATTCAAGGCAAGTCTACAATGGTATAGTCCTCTTAAGAGGAAAAGAAACTTGTAAATGAAGGAGGAAAAAAGACTTCATCCATAAAAATGATAGCAAAATTCCTCCAGTCAGAAGCTTCCTCTCTTCAATGCCACTGAAAGGCAGCCCAGACAAGCAGAACCCCTGCTCCTCACAAAGAGAAGCCACTGAAGAACCTCACCAAGTTCACCAGACGACGAAGACCATCATAACGGTCAAAGAGTTCCAATACAGCCCGGAAGGAGAAGCAGATTGAGAAAAACATGGTAGCGTGGCAGCATCCTGAAGCATGAGAACATTCCATTAACCACAGTGTGTAGTTCACCACATCAGACAGAACATTGTGGGGATGCATGCAAACCTGCAAAAAATAAAAATAAAACGTAATTTTTAAAAATCTGGGGGAAAGGAACCTTCACAAAAGGGAAGAAAAATTCACAGTGTAGATAGATATCTTTGCAAAATACAATAATCACTCCTGGGCAAGTCATTCTGAGTTTAAAGCTTAAGTTACAAATGAAATTTTATAACAATCTATTCCAAGCCTGAAAACAACCTAAATTTAAAGAAATATTTAAATTCCACCTAAACATACTGAGTGCTAAATTCTGCAAATATTTATATCCTTTAATGCTCACAATGTTCTGTTACACACATATTAGTATTCCCACCTAACAGGTGAAGAAGTGGCTCACAGACATAAGGGACTTCCCCAGGCTCATAAAAGTGACTGAGCCTTCTGATACTAAAGTCTACAAGTTTAATATCCATTCACTCACTGATTCATTCACACACATTTTGTTGTCTCCTGTAAGTCAGACAATGAATTCTGAAGCATTACCCAGGTTTGTTTGATACATTTTTATCTTAACCACAATTAATTTTGTACATACACACACAGATTAGGTTACTACTCTCAAAAGATTACATATCCTTGCAAAATGCTGAATCTTAAGGAGTTAAAAAATTAAAATCAAAATATTACCCTATTAGTAAATATACAAAGATGAATAAAGACACCACCCAAGAAGAATTTACCAACTTCACTCTACCAGAAAAGCCACACCACACAGAATATTAGAAAAATATTCCAGGCACAGAAATGACAAGAGCTTCCCTAGTGGCGTCTAAGGACTCATTTCTTTTCAAATGTACAACCCACTTAGACTTTTTTTAAAAATCACTAAATAAAAAGTCTTAGCTGGAAAAACCCAGAAAACCAGCTACCAGAGGGTAGCTGCCACGCTACCATGTTTTTCTCTGGAGCCCTGAGAACAACTGGAATGATTTTACTGTCTCTACCACGAACTATTTGTTAACACAAATACACAAAGCATCATCTGTTGTTTTTATAATAGACTGACTCAAAAATGCAAAATATAACTCCACTGAGGGACATCTGAAAAGAGCCTGAAAATAATTCTAATGCAGTAAAAATGGCAAAAACTAAAAAAAAGTTCTGTGACCCCAATCCATCTTGGGTTTTTTGTTGGATTTTTTTCTTTCAGAGAGTCAGGAAAAAAAGGACTACAAAATTTTACATTTTGGACCTTTTCTAAAGAATTTTACATTTTTGGAATGCTCTGTAAAGATTCATGCTCCTTGCTTCTTTCACTAAAACCTAATCCACCTATTCATTTTTTCTTATCCAAAAGTTTTCCTGTGAACGTACTAGAATATTCCCCACCCTATCCCATTCCCATACATCTGAATGGACTGGACTTACTCTTTCCATGGCATCCTGGTTGTAGGACAGGTAATACAAGCACATGGATACACCAGTTGCAGCCATAGAAGGACGAGGAATTTCCAGTAATTTCTGTACTCCACCATGTGCAACAAATTCTGTGGCAAACTTGTTATGGAGCAGGAGAGATGCTAGGTGCTAAACAAAGAGGACACATATCACCGTGGAAAAATCTAGAACAAATATCTCTTCACAGTTGCTAAACACAAAGACTCCTCTGAAGCAGACAACCACTCCCTCAAAACAGAAGTAAAACCAATACTGCTTAAGGGAAACAAAAAACAAAAACAAAACAAACAAAAAAACTCTAGGATTCCATAATATTCCCTCCTAATACCAAAGGTTTTCATGAGGATGAAAAACAAGAAATGAAGAATATTGCTGTACATAATGACATAATCCTACACCATTTTATTATTACATAGCTTCCCTAAAGGATTTTTGTTACCCTTCCCATTTTAATCCTTTAAACATCATCAGCTCTATGTTTTAGCTTTGGCTCAGTCACTGACTCATCATCTAATAAAATCCAAAACTCTGCTTCCCTTTAAATTGATCCTCAATATATCCCCAAAGAAAAGTCTTCAGTAAATTATCAAAATTTGTAAATTTTTAGAACTAATCAGAATGCACTTTAAATAGACCTTTATTAATGAACTATTTTATTAAGTCTCTATTAGACAGGCCTTTGTTATCAAGTTTTGTTAACTTGCTGTTCAATTCTTACTAGCCTCTCTGGGTGGACCTGATCTTCTGGGCAATTTTAAGGGCAAGGAGTGCAATGCAAGCAGCAGGCTACTCAATGACTTTGAACCCAGGCCAACGTGGATGGGGCCTCAGGAGAACTGGAGCCTCCTGTTTCTGTTGGCCTCCTGTTTCTCATGTCAAGGTGTCTTCTGGGTGGTGATACAGGCAGCAGGTACAGACAAGACAACACAGATTTGTAATTACATGATTTGATACCTGTATAAATTTCACCAAGGTCAATGGCAAAAACAACAAGTATGTACCCTCTTCAGAAGTTCTCTTAACACAGAGACTCAGACTAACCCTTATATGTAATTCAAATCCCTTCACTCTTTACTTGGCTGATACACAAACCTCTACCACATTCCCACCAAGTCTTTCCCCAAGAAACTAAACTATGTATGGTTCCCTCCCCAATACTTAGGCCACTGCACGTGCTTTTTCCAATAATGTCACTACCATAAAGTGGCAGTTCCACTGCCAGATCAGTAGGTAGGGAAACAGAGAACAAACAGGCTCAATCTTTACCAAGAACCTTAATTCTACTTGGCTCAACATAGCCCATAACCTGGCTCACTTCACTCATGTGGGCAAAGATTCTATTTTCTCTCCTTGTATTGTACCTCCATATAAGGTTCTAGTTCTTTTTTTGTTTGTTTGTTTTTGTTTTTGTTTTTTTGCGGTACGCGGGCCTCTCACTGTTGTGGCCTCTCCCGTTGCAGAGCACAGGCTCCGGACGTGCAGGCTCAGCGGCCATGGCTCACGGGCCCAGCCACTCCGCGGCATGTGGGATCCTCCCAGATTGAGGCACAAACCCGTGTCCCCTGCATCGGCAGGCGGACTCCCAACCACTGCACCACCAGGGAAGCCCTCTAGTTCTTAATTTACTATTTTATCCCATTTTGTTTCTATTGATCTATACGATCTTACAGAAAAACCAGAACATTTTGGCCAACCCAAGACTAACTTCAACACCTGTTCCTTCTCCTACACAACTGAGACTTCCTTTTGAACAAAACAGTAAACATAACTTTCTATACTTTTTATTTCCCTATAAGAAGGATCTCTTGTCTGATTTTTCCCTGTTCATCCTTATTTCATTTTCTTTAATCCCTTATATGAGGCTGCACAGAAAACAGCTGAATAATGACACCCATTACAGTTCCTCATACAAAGACCTACAGAAATAGCAACTGCCCAAATCCCTTCTTCACTATTTCCTTTTCAGGACAGGATGCTGCATCTGAAAGCAATCCCTTTGGGTCACTGGAGACAACTCTGACCTCCAGCTTCATCTCACTGTTCAAAGTACAATCATGAGTTTACACACTTTATACACACACACTGCATCCCATACATAGGAATACATGTTACTCCAATTTATGTCTGACCTCCTCCAAACTTAAAATTTCTGGGGTCTGAAAGGCAAATTTCCTTATTTCTATTTAATTTCAATATACTCTGGAACTGTGCTGTCCAATGCACTAGTCACTGGCCACATGTGGCTAATTTAATTAAAATTTAGTTAAAAATTCAATGCCTCAGAGGCACTAGCTACATTTTAAGTGCTCATATATGGCTAGTAGCCACTGTTTTGAACAGCACAAAGAACATTTCCATCGTCACAGAAAGTTCTATTGGACAGCATGGCTCTGGAATATCAGGAATGAAATTGTAACTTTGAACAGCCAGTGAGAACATTACCTCTTTTTCAGAGGTCTTGTCTAGAAGCTACTATTTCTCAAGGAGAACAGACCATTCCTTCCTTTGTGCCCCATACTTTTCTCACAACATCTATAATATCTAAAAGAAATCATAGGCTTACATGCCTGTCTCTCTTAACCAAACAATAAACAGCAGAGACTTAACTTATTTGTCTAATATTGTAAACATCACAGAATAGTACTGTGTTCATTTAGTTACCTGTTGGGTAGAACTATAATAGCCACAAAATTATTCATTCCACTTAACCTCTCTCCCTTCAGATTACCTAAATTATCATGAAAAGGTATGGATTTGGTGGGCTAGACATACCTGCCCTCTTATATTTAGCCCCTTTGCAACCTAGAAAATCATTTACCTTTACTGAATTTGAGTATGCCTCTATTTCTTTACTCATTTTCTGCTTTATATTTTGTCTACTCTAAATAATCTAACATCATACAATATGTATAGTTAATAACTGAGAAGAAGTGTTGTTGGCTGACAGAATACTTAAAAGGTAGTATGACCTAAGGTACTATACACTTAGTTTCTCTTCCTATCCAGTAACAATAACTGGGCCACTCTCAGGTCTAGATCCACTTTCTCCTTTAACATTCAATCCTCTAGGACTGACCCCTGAATTTCTGTGGAGGCACTTGGTAAGCCTCATTTCTTCTATCTAAAAAAGAAATTTTCATTTGTCACGACTGACACATCTGGCAATAGAAACACCCTGGGGACTTCCCTGGTGGCACAGTGGTTAAGAATCTGCCTGCTGGGACTTCCCTGGTGGCACAGTCATTTAGAATCCACCTGCCAATGCAGAGGACACAGGTTCGATCCCTATTCCAGCAAGATCCCACATGCCACGGAGCAACTAAGCTCATGAGCCACAACTACTGAGCCCACGTGCCACAACTACTGAAGCCCACATGCCTAGAGCCCATGCTCCACAACAACAGAAGCCACCACAAGAAGCCCACGTGCTGCAAAGAAGAGTAGTCCCCACTCACCGCAACTAGAGAAAGCCCGCATGCAGCAACGAAGACCCAACACAGCCAAAATATAATTAATTAATGTAAAATCAAAAACAAAAGAATACACCTGCCAATGCAGGGGACACGGGTTCTATTCCTGGTCTGGGAAGATCCTACATGCCACGGAGCAACTAAGCCCATGCACCACAACTACTGAGCACGCACTCTAGAGCCCGTGAGCCACAACTTCTGAAGCCTGCACGCCTAGAGCCTGTGCTCTGCAACAAGAGAAGCCACCGCAATGAGAAGCCCGCGCACTGCAACGGAGAATAGCCCCCACTCGCTGCAACTAGAGAAAGCCCGCATGCAGCAACGAAGACCGAATGCAGCCAAAAATAAATAAATAAATAAAATAAATTTACTTTTTTAAAAAAAGCACCACCCTGAACAATAAAATCCAGAGATGCTACATACCAAAACATATAGGCACATCCATGTCAATAAAATGCTCAGTGACCTAACATTTTTAAGAACTTTACCTTGAGTGCCTCAAATGTAAGTAGGACATCGTTAGTCTGTTTCAAGTCAATATAGAACATCATCAAATCCCGTGATCCAAGTTGCATGAATATGGGAAGTAACTGAAATCAACACCAAAAACAAGTCTTAACATTTGAATTTATTTTCACATATTTCCTATTCCTTTATGAAGATAGAAGATTAAAGAAATGAGGTGCCTCTTCCCCCCGCTTTATGAAGATAAACATACAAACACACTTTGATCGAAAAGGCCTTATCAGGAGTGACCTCCATAAGACTTTACCAGTTTGAGGCAAAGACTTTTCTATATTAGTGTAAAAACACATCAATGTATAAAATGACACCACAAAATATCCCAGAAATAAACACAGTGGTCCCAAAATGTGAACACTACTCTTCCCAATAAGCTTACCTCCTGATATTCTCCTAAAGGGGTCAGATACTGGAGAATAAGTCGCTGCTCGATAGCAGGAGTCATAGGATAAAGGGTATAATTGGTGCCAATCACCCAGGGGGACATTTCTGACCAGCTGCTGTTAGACAGCTCAACAAACATGCGATCTGGATCAGATGATGAGAAACCCAACTTTTGCTTGGCTTTCCTAAAGCTCTCTCTGTCACCCTGTTTTGCTGACTTGTTTTTCCTCAATCCTCCTTCCTCAGGTTTAGTTGCTGAGTTCACTCTGCTACTGGTCTTGTGGGCTGAATCAAGATGAAAGGAGATCTCCATGTCTCCAGAAGCTTCCTCTTGTTCGCCATCCACTACATCTACAGCCATGTCGCCATAGTCCATATCCACAGCTTCTTCATCCAGAGGCAAAAGGGGTTCAGAGGAGAGCTTTCGTGGGCTAGGACGCTTGCTTTCTTGCCTCAAAGCTACTTCCTGAAGCTGTAGCTCCCTCAGTCTTCGAAGTACTATTGCCACCTATCAACAGATATTGGAATAAAAGGGGTTGTCTCTTCTGCATCTTAATTTAAATGATTCAAATAATTCTTACTTCCACTTAAGGATAATCATGCAATTATTTCAATGCCTGGCAATAGTAAAGATTTGATAAATATGTTGACTTGATTCCTACAGCTTGATGAAATAAATAATGGCTAAAAGTCTCATTCCCCATAAAATTTCCCAGAGAACCCAAACCAGAAGATCTGCACATAAAACACCTAATTCACAACATATCTGGCTGGATCAAACTGGGGTGGACCATCACACCTGAAGAGGCAGACACTAGATATATTCACTATTTTTAAAAAGTGTCTGAAAATCAAACATGAATGTTTCTGAAACTTTTATCTGCCGTAAGTTATATTCTGTTAAATACTGTCATCCACATTATACATAATTACATAATCTAATTTTCAAGTTCACCATTTATGTTTTACCTTTTCCTTTAAGTACTCATTTTTTGGGCCAAGCCTAAACTGTAGTATTATGCTTAGTTTTAAAAAGAGAGAGTGATTAGGTCTGCAATTTATTTTAATCTGCATTAAAAAAAAAAAAGAATGGTGGATGGATATAATGAGGGGTGAATGGATGGATGGGTATTCATGAATATAAGTTTAGTAAAATATTCACAATCAATGTAAGTGGTGTGTATACAGGTGTTCACTGTAAAATTATATTTTGCTAAACGTTTGAAATTTTTCATAATCCAGATGTTGGGAAAGGAAAGGGAGTGGTACTGTTTATCTGGTACAAAATATCATGATCCTTGACAAGATGAAAAACAGCTATTTTCTAGTAAAAAAAAAAAGGTCCAATCAAAACTCTTATGAAAAGTAGTCTTGAAATACTGAAATTATAGCTATACTCTAGTACAAGGTAACAAATAAGATCTGCCTATTCAAGTTCAGTAGCAAGAAAACGAGGGAATACACTCCCATCTTATGCAAAAAAAATCATTCTAACATGGTCCTTACCAGCTGTGAATTTTCATCCCTGTAGTTGGCAGCAATGTCTTGATTTTCCATAGCACCTCCTAACAGACCAGTAGAATATGTCCTCAGTGGCTGATCAGCCTCTCGGGCCCATTTGAAAAGATTCTCAACAATTCCTTCCTATAGTAAAGGAAATGAAATAGCACAATTCAGGGGGAAAAAATTCATAATTAAAGATATAAGCAAAGACTTCAGTCTTGTAAAAGAATTTTTTTAATAAAACATTTCAATATTGCTCATAAGATTAAAAAATCCAACTGAACTCAATGTACAATAGTAGGTGGTTTAGTTAAAATATCTGTGCACTGTGAAACAGAATTCAATTTATCCACTAAAACTCAAGCTAAAGATCAACAATCACTTAATGCAGTCCTACATTAGCTGTTAAGACCCAAAAGGTTCCATGACCAAGTGGGGAGCCCTAAAAATTCTATATCTCTCTTTGAAGTTCACAATGCACAATTAACATTATCAGTGCTCTGAGAAGTCCTCCATCAAACAAGTATTTAACTCCACATATCCCACCCTTATTTTTAGTTAGTTTGTACTATGAAATAAAATACATAAACATGTACAGTCCAAAGAAAATGAAAATCACCTCTGTGATTTACCACTGAGTTTAAGAAACAGAAACCTCCCATGTGTCCCCCCTCCCTATACCACCCGCCTCCTCCCTCCCCAAAGGGTACCTGCATTACTAAATTTTAATAATTTTCTTATAAGGCTTTTGTTAAACGTTATATGCTTTGAACTGTGTAAATTGTGTGGTGCCATATGTATTTTTCTGCAACCTGTTTCTTTTACACATTATGTTTTTTACATTCATCTATATGGTTACATGTAATTGTCACAAATAGCACTCAATATAAGACAGGCTTTACACATAACATTTAATCCTCATATCAACCCTATATGATTAGGTAAGTACTATATTTACAGAATAGAAAACTGTCACAATGAGGTTAAGTAACTTACCAAAAGTCACAAAACTAGTAAGTGGCAAAGCTGGGATCTTATCCTAGGCAGTGTACCTCCAAATGCTCTTCATCTCCATATTCTGCTGCTGCTATTCTGTTGGGTTAACTATACTTATTTTTGTGCAAGTATGTCCCTAAAGTAGACACCTAGGAACAGTACTAAGTCACAGGTGTGTTTGCTCAACTTTACTAGAGGAGGCCAAACTATTTTCCAAAATGACAATTCACATTTCCTACAGCAAATAGTTCTTTTTTCCTACATCTTTACCAACACTTGGCCACTATCAGACTTTTAATTTTTTGCAGTCTGGTGGGTTTAAAAAATTAACATTTCATTTAACTTGAATTTTCCCATTTACTAATGAAGTTCAGCATTTTTTTTCGTGCCTTCTGACCATTCATACTTCCACTTTCTCTGAAATACTCATGTCTTTTACCAGTGTTTCATGATAAGCACAAGTTCTTAATTTTTATATAATCATACTTAGCAATATTTTCTTTTAAACGTTGTGCACTTTATCTTAAGAAACTCTTCCCTAGGGTCATGGTGTCATTCTCCTATATATTTCAAGTTTTAAAGTTTTTTTTTAAAAAACTAACACTCTGAAAACACATTTTGAGAAATTTTGTTTTAAAACACTTATTGAGGGGCTTCCCTGGTGGTGCAATGGTTAAGAATCTGCCTGCCAGTGCAGAGGACATGGGTTCAATCCCTGGTCCAGGAAGATCCCACATGCTGCGGAGCAACTAAGCCCCTTGCACCACAACTACTAAGGCTGTGCTCTAGAGCCCATGTGCCACAACTACTGAAGCCCGCGCACCTAGAGCCTGTGCTCTGCAACAAGAGAAGCCATGACAATGAGAAGCCCAGGGCTTCCCTGGTGGCGCAGTGGTTGAGAGTCCGCCTGCCGATGCAGGGGACACGGGTTCGTGCCCCGGTCCGGGAAGATCCCACATGCCGCGGAGCGGGTGGGCCTGTGAGCCATGGCTGCTGAGCCTGCGCGTCCGGAGCCTGTGCTCCGCAATGGGAGAAGGCCACAACAGTGAGAGGCCTGCGTACCGCAAAACAAAACAAAACAAACAAACAATGAGAAGCCCACGCACAGCAACGAAGAGTAGCCCCTGCTCGCAGCAACTAGAGAAAGCCTGCACACAGCAACGAACACCCAGCACAACCCAAAAAAATTAATTTAAAATAATAATAATAAAATACTTATTGATATGAAAATATATGTACCATCAATTTTAAGTCTATCATCCTTCCCTATTTCCAAACAGTATAAGAAACTTAAAATACTAACTTCAATTATTGCCTTCCATCTACATGTTACCAAGAATTTCTGTTTGCCCTTTTGCCCTCCAAAATTGTTTATTTTGGTCAATATTTATAGGTTTACAGAAGTTCTCTGAAGACATTTTCTACTATTATCTGTCCTCTACTGATGCTGTGGCAAAGCATGCTATGTTAATTTGAAGGAATCTTTTATACTCTAGTTGCTTTTTTTTTTTACTATTTTTTGAGTGGTTTTGTTTATTTATTTATTTAGGCTGCGTTAGGTCTTCGTTGCTGCACGTGGGCTTTCTCTAGTTGCGGCAAGCTGGGGCTACTCTTCATTTTGTGGCGCATAGGCTTCTCACTGTGGTGGCTTCTCTTGTTGCAGAGCATGGGCTCTAGGCACAGGGGCTTCAGTGGTTGTGGCACATGGGCGCAGTAGTTGTGGCTCGCAGGCTCTAGAGCGCAGGCTCAGCAGTTGTGGCACACAGGCTCCGTTGCTCTGTGGCATGTGGGATCTTCCCGGACCAGGGCTCGAACCCATGGCCCCTGCATTGGCAGGCGGATTCTCAACCACCGCGCCACCAGGGAAGTCCCACTCTAGTTGCTTTTAAAATCTTTTGGTCTTTGGTATTCATTGGGCTTTCTGAATCTGAGTGGTCATGTCTTTCATTTATTTGTAAGATCCTAGCCTCATCCCTCTGAATATTACCTATTTTCTTTTTCTTTTATATATATGTGTGTGTGTATATATACACACATACACATTTTTTTTTTCTTTTTTGGCTGCACTGCATGCCATGCAGGATCCTAGTTCCCTGACCAGCAGTTGAACCCACACCTCTTGCAGTGGAAGTGCAGAATGTTAACCACTGGACCACCAGGGAAGTGCCTTCTATTCTCTTTTATTGAAATTCCTTTTAGATACATGTTAAATTTTCTAATTCTAGTCTTATTTCTAAGAGCTTCATTAAGGATTATCCTGTCAGATATTCCAGTTTATTAATTCTATCTTTAGCTGTGTCTAAATTTCACTCTACCTCATCTACTAAGTTTTAAAATTCAATAACTGTAATTTTTATTTCCAGTAGTTCCTTTGTTCATTTTCCAAATGGCCATTTTTTTCATAGTCTTAGACTTTTCTTGGAGTTCTGATTCTTTCACATTCATAACTTTTAACTATTTTAACAATTTTTCAGTGTAAAATTTGGTGGGATTCAGTACATTCACAATGTTGTGTAACCATCAACACTATCTATTTCCAGAATTTCATCATCCTAAACGGAAACTCTTTACCAGAACTTTCAATAATGGATAGAACAACCGAAAAGAAAATCAATAAGGAAACAGAGGAGTTGAACAACACTACAAACCAATTAGATCTAAAAGACATATAGAGAACACTCCGTCCAACAAGAGCAGAATATACATTCTTTTCAAGTACACATGGAACATTTCACAGAAGAGACTATATGTAAGGCCACAAAACAAGTCTTAATAATTTAAAAAGAACTGACCTCTTACAAATAATTTTTTCCAATCACAATGGAATGAAATGAGAAATCAACATCCCAAGAGAAAACTGGAAAATTCATATGTGGAAATCAACAGTCTTAACCAACAAAAGTGTCAAAGAAGAAATCACAGGGAAATTAGAAAATACCTTGAGCTGAATGAAAACAAAAACACAACATACCAAAATTTATGGGATACCACAAAAGCAATGCAAAGAGGGAAATTTACAGCTGCAAGCACATAAAATTAAAAAGAAAAAAAGGTCAAATTAATAACCTAACTGTACACTTTAAGGAACAAGAAAGAGCAAATAAAACCCAAAGATAGCAGGAGTAAAAAATAATAATAATAAAGATTAGAATGGAGATAAACAAAATAGCAAATAGAAAAATACAGAAAATTAATGAAACCAAAAGTTGTTGCTTTGAAAAGATCAACAAAATTGACAAACCTTTAGCTAAACTGATCAAGAAAAAAAAAGGAGAGAAAACAAATTACTAGAATCAAAAATGAAAAGGGAAAACTTCCCCAGTGGTGCAGTGGTTAAGAATCCACCTGCCAATGCAGGGGACACAGGTTCAAGCCCTGGTCCAGGAAGATCCCACATGCCGCAGAGCAACTAAGCCCATGCACCACAACTACTGAGCCTGTGCTCTAGAGCCCGTGAGCCACGACTACTGAGCCCATGAGCCACAACTACTGTGCCCACGCGCCCTAGAGCCCACCCCCCACAACTACAGAGCCCACGTGCTGCAACTACTGAAGCCCACTGCCTAGAGTCCGTGCTCTGCAACAAGAAAAGCCACCACAATGAGAAGCCCACGTACCACAACGAAGACCCAATGCAGCCAAAAAAATAAATAAATTTTAAATTTTTTTTAAAAAAAGAAAGGGGGAACATTACTACCAATTTTACATGAATAAAAAGGATTATAAGGGAATTCCCCAGTGGTCCAGTGGGTAGGACTCCACACTTTCATGGCCGAGGGCCTAGGTTCAATCCCTGGTCAGGGAACTAAGATCCCACAAGCCACATGTGGCATGACCAAAAACAAAAGTGGGGGGTGGATTACAGGAGAACACTATAAACAACTGTACACCAACAAATTGAGTAACTTAAACGGACAAATTCCTAGAAACACAATCTACCAAAATGGACTAATGAAGAAACAGAATAACTGAACAGACATAACCAGTAAGGAGACTGAATCAGTTGTCAAAACCCTCCCAAAACAGAAAAACCTAGGACCAGATCGCTTAACTGGTAAATTCTACCATTTAAGGAATTAATACCAAGCCTTCTCAAACTCTTCCAAAAAATTAATGAGAAGGAGCACTTCCTAACTCATTCTATG